TGGAATGAACTGCCTTTGTTGGCATGTAGTGGGCAAATCCAGAATGTGGTAGGAGGTTTTCAGGAGTTAGGCCTCTGTCTGGCCTCTGGGTCTCCAATTTCACACCTTAGACACGGGCGGGAGCGTAGTCCTACAGGTGTTCTTCACTCCTGTCCCAACCTTCCATTCCGCTTCCTTCCAGACTGGATAGTTTCTGTTGTCAGTATTCTGAGTTTGCCAGTCCTGTTTGTGAATCAAAATGCTTCAGCACAGAAGGCAGAGAAAGTAATCCGTTCTTAAGTGTGTGTGTGTGTGTGTGTGTGTGTTGCACATATGGAGGGGAGTGGACAGCTTTTAGGAGTCAGTTCTCTCCTTCTACAATGTGTGGGTTCTGGAGACTGAACTCAGGTTGTTACGTCAGCCTTGGCAGCAAGTGCCTCTACTGACTGATAACCTTGTCTGCCCTAGAGGAAGCCATTTCTCACAAGACGCAGATTTCCTTTTCCCTGGGTAGATAACAGGAAGTATACGGGCATATCTCTCTCTCTCTCTCTCTCTCTCTCTCTCTCTCTCTCTCTCTCTCTCTCTCTCTCTCTCTCTCTAATTATTTCTTAAGATTGGATTAGTTACTCTAAAGAGGAGTTTTCCACCTGGTGGGAGAGTGGTTCTCACCCCGTCCTGTGAGTGACAGCCCTGAGTTGAGCATGCCCGCAGGTTTTCCTCTCCAGCCCGCTGTTCTCAGGGCTGTCTTCTCCTACGTCATTTCCTCTTGCTGGCGCGCGATGATTTGGTGTTCAATATCAGAGCTTGCTTGCTTTCTGTAACTACCCATAGCTTTCTGTAATCAGTAAGCTTTGCTTTCCAGATGCCAGAGCAAGGCACTTTATTTTTAAAATGAGGTTACTCTCTTCTACCCCCCCCAGGTACCCCATTTTCTTGCATAGGTATGTATGCTTGTCATATTGTCCAAGAACAGCGTGGACCACTTTGTGTTCTGATCTGAACTACATTCTACCCCTCAGGAGACACTTGGTGGTAGGAAAACCTGAACCGTCTGTCCCATATGTAAAACTGAGCACGTGCAGTCTCTGCAGCCACATACCCCTTTAGTTTTAAAAGCAGCATGGATTACTGTGTTCAGCAGAGTTCAGAGCCTGCCTGTGATGGACAGGTGTGTAGCCAAGGTGAGATATATTTATAACTCCAGCTGCTTGGGAAACTGAGGAGGGAGGAATGAATCACTTGGACCTATGAGATCAAGACCATCCTCAGTGTGGGGTTTGAATGAGAATGGCCTGCATGGGCTCGCATGTTTGAGCAAGTGGTCCCTAGTTGGCGGACCTGTTTGGGAGGAAAGGTCTTGTTGGAGGAGGTGTGTCACTGGGGTGAGCTTTGAGGTTTAAAACCCCACCCCATCCCTAGTTAGCTCTTTACTTGGTGTTTGTGGGTCAGATGTGGGCTCTCAGCTACTGTTCCAGCACCATGCCTGCCTGCCTGTCCCACCCCCCCATGACGGTCAAGGACTCACCTTCCAGAACCATGAACCCCAAATCAAACGTTTTCTCTTGTAAGTTGTCTTGGTCATGGTGTTTTATCACAACAACAGGAAAGAGGCTAAGATACTCAGCAACACAATGAGATGGTATTTAAAAAATATTGCTTGTTGTAGTGGTGCACTCTTAATCCCAACACTCAGGAGGCAGCTGTAAGTGGATCTCTATGAGTTCAAGGTCAGCCTGTTCTACACAGTGAGTTCCATAGTATAGCTATAACTAAAAATGATCTGTGTCTGTCTCTGTCTCTGTCTCTGTTTCTCTCTCTCTCTCTCTCTCTCTCTCTCTCTCTCTCTCTCTCACACACACACACTGGTTGTTTTGATACAGGGTTTCTCTGGGTAGCCCTGGCTGTTCTGGATCTTGCTCTGTAGACTGGTCTGGCCTCAAACTCACAGAGGCCTCTGCCTCTTGAATGCTGGGATTAAAGGTATGCACCACCACTGCCCAGCTCAAAATGAACATACATTGAAATTATGCTGTTTCTAAGACTTACTATCCTGATTAACTCAATTTAATATTAGTTTTATGTCTTAGAGTTCAAAAGCTGTCTTGGGGCTGGCAAAATGTCTCAGTGGGTGAAGGTGCTTGCTGTCACACATGTGTGCACACATAAACGTTAAAAGTTAAAATTCATGTTCACACGATACAAGAAAAATAAAATGTTTGTTTTCATCATGAAACGGAGACACTCAGAAAGCTCGTAACTTTAATTTGATGTCTATAGATGTCTCAAAGAAAACTACAAAAACTCACTGGCCCCAGCTGCAACGACTCTCTCTCTCTCTCTCTCTCTCTCTCTCTCTCTCTCTCTCTCTCTCTCTCTCTCTCTCTCTCTCTTCTTTTTAACAGGACTCTAACTAAATGGATTTAACTCATGCATACAAAAGCAAACAACCAAATAGTCAAGTAATCTAGGATGCTCGTTATCTCTGACCCAAAGAGCACGGGACCTGTTGGGATAGCAGTCACCTAATGCACATTCTGTGAAACTGTTAGAGGCTCCTGTACCCTCCGAGTGATAGCCTCCAGTGTAGGGTTTTACTCACCTCTGAAGAGTGCCGGGGAAGACCCAGACAAGCATGCACAAGGAACAGGAAACCTGTGATGGTTTCAGGCTGAGGGGAAAAGGAGATGGACCCCAGAGATGGACAGGGTGGTACACGGGTTCCAGCCAATGGGTATCACACCTAGGAACCTCCCAAGATAGTTAAGCATGCTTTTAAAAGTTACAGTCTTGACTCTCTCTCTCTCTCTTTTTTTTTTTTTTGGTTTTACGAGACAAGGTTTCTCTGTATTGTTTTGGAGGCTGACGGTCCAGTATGGCCTCGAACTCACAGAGATCCGCCTGCCTCTGCCTCCTGAGTACTGGGATTAAAGGTGTGCGCCATCACTGCCCGGCTCAGTCTTGACTTTCTTAAGACATAAAGTAAGGGCTCCACAGGTGGCTCTGCAGTTAAGGACACTTGCTGCTCTTGTAGAGGATCCAGATTCAGTTCCCAGCATCCTCATCAGGCAGCTGGCAACCTTAACTTCAGCTCTGGGGAAATCTGATGCCCTCTTCAGGCTCCTTATGGTATTGCACTCAGGTGCTCCTATTAACACACACAACTACAAATGTAATAGTCCAAAACAGAATTAAAAAAAAATTTCGACAAGGTTAATGAGAAATGGACACATCGTACATAGAAATAAAAATCTTTAAGATTTAGGGATTTTTTTAAAAGAAAAATAATTTATGTTAGATAGAAATCATCTTTTAAAAAATACATGAGTTGATTTGTATCTTCCAAATTGTTTAAGGCTAAATGAACATTAATAATTCAAAAGAGATATAGCCCCTAAGAAATTAAATAAACCTTTCACAGGCCTTCTTGACAATGTTCAATATGATACGGAAAAAATAATAGTGATCTTTTTACCTATACCCATGTTTTTTTTTCCTAAGCACAAAGGTTTGAATGACTGTCTTAACTGCATCATGATGTATTTCTTAAAAAGTTTTCAAAATCTATTATTAATTTCATTTGGAAAGAAACCCCCAAATTTGCCTTGGCATGTAGACCAGGCTAGCCTCAAATTCGAGGAGATCCACTTGCCTCTGTCTCCTGAGTGCTGGGATTGAAGGCGTGTGCCACCACCACCCACCTTCAGTAACATTAGAAAAAATGTTCAGACATCTTTGCTACTGTCCTTTGCCTTAAGAGGCACAGGTGGCTTCCCTTCTCTCTTCTGTGAGCTGGACAGCGTGTCTTCCTTCTGTAGAATCAGCGGAACAAGGACTAACGCTTCTCTCCTGTTTCTTCAAGTGTCTGGACTACAGGCGGGAGGCTCTACACCGGCTCCTCCCAGCTCCCTTGTGGATCTGGGGTGCCTGGCTGTAGTGGTTCTACCCTCCGGCTCTTGCCTCCAGCATTGCTCTTGGATAGAACTGTGTGCTGGGCATCAGCAAAGCTATAAGGCCCTCCTTGAACACTGGTTCTCAGCGTGTGGGTTGAGGCCCTTTGGGGGTGGAGTGACCCTTTCACAGAAGTCACCCAAGACCATCAGAAGACACGGATAATTATGATCCATAAGAGTAGCAAAACTATAGTTATGAAGTAGCAGAGAAAATAATTTTATGTCTGGGGGTCGCCGCAACGTGAGGGACTGTATTAAAGAGTCGGCGCAGGGCTAGGGAGGTCAGAGCCGCTGCTTTTGACTCTCTCCCTGGCCTCCCCTGCTTGGCACTTCTGCTCTTTTTCAGAACTTTTCAGGCAAGTGACTGGTGATGTTTCTGTCAGCATTTTGAGGGACGAGGCCAGAGGCAAGGCTCTCACCTGTCTCTGTCACCACGCCCAGGAGGTCCTGTAAACGTTTAGGTATCTTGCATTCACTTGGGATCCCTGGCTTTGAGGCTGAAGGGAATTTCAGAGTGAGCCACCCCATGAAGTAGAGAGGGGTTTAATGAAGGACGTTAAGTATGGAGGGTAAGGAAAAGAGAAGTCCTCAGAAAGTAAGGCGCGCCCAAAAGCAAGGGTGTCACACAGGGTAAGACACACTTAACTGCCGGCGCTGGCTCCTCAAGGCACACACAGCTCATTGTTTTGGATATCTGTACTAGTCACACATAACATTTGAGTAGGGTCTTGAAGTTCTCCTCTTCGAAGGGGACGCCAGAGCCTGAATGAGGTCACCACGGTTCTGAGGTGCACCCACGGTCCTCCAGGTAAATTAGCTCACAGGGACACGGGAAGGTTAACTGCTTTAGTTGAGATTCTTAGCTGAGGAGGCCTGGTGAGGCCCTGCCCAAGGTCGGATACACGCAGCTCTTCCGCCTGGCTCGTTGTTCTTCTAACGCCTGCGCGTTAACACAGCTGCACACTTGATCAGGTGTTGCTGATCGATCGGGGGAGGGGCTTCCTTCTTTCCCCAGGTCCCACAGTTTCCTGTCTGCCCGCCTTATTTTCCTCACCTTCCTGCTCCAGTTGGTTGCTTTTGGCCAGGGACAAGGCGCACGCACGCCTCCCAGGCTCTCTGCGGCTCCAAAGCCTCATGGCAATTCTGTATGCTCCAGCAGGCTGCATACAGCTCTTCGGTTTTGTCTCGAAGCTCCCTCCAGACATTAGGTAGGTCCTTACTCTTGAGTCTTGCACGGAGACAGGGTCCTCCCTGGATTTCTGCTCATGGGATTACCTTCTTCCCTCCATGGGTTGCAGTTCAACCATAGCTGGCCCTGGGTTAGAAATGATTGTTCAGGAAGTTTCCAAATCTCTACAGCCCCCCCCCCCAGGACCCCTGGGCACTGGGCCTGGTTCCTGCAGACCAATGCAGACAGTTGGCTACCTCAACGTGGAGTCTGCCTCTCTTCAGACAGGTGCCTGACCTCACTGAAGGTGCACCCGCCGCCTTCCGTGTGCGCAAGGGGGCTGTAGTAGTCTGTTCACATCCTGGCTGTGGCAGTCTGGTCCCTGGGTTCACATCCTGGCTGTGGAAGTCGGGTCCTGTGTAAAGCTCTCTCTCGTATTTTAGCCAAATCACCTCCATTTGTCCATCCGCAGTTCCTCTTTCAAGCAAGAATGTAAGAGAACGATTCTAAATTCATTGCTGTTGCCTTATGGTCTCATGACTTGTAAGTTCAGCTATTATCTATTATTTTTCATGTACTTTTTTTTTGGACACAGGGCCTCGTGCAGTCCAGGCTAGTCTTAAACATCCTGTACAGCAGAGCGTGACCCTGAACTCTCAACTTTGACACCTCCACTTCCCAAGTGTTGGGATTTGCAGGTGTGCACCACCATGCCCGGTTTATTAACTCAGCAAAAGCAAGCTTAAAAAAAAGAAACAAAACACAAGAAAACCAACCCTTAAAACTAGGAAGTTGAATAAAAAGATGTAGCCCTGGTAAGGGACACTAACCCGGAGAGACAAATGATCAAGGAGCTGAGAAAGGAATGGCCGGCTAAGACTGGGCTTGTTAGATCAGGCTGTACAATACAGCATTTGGGAGGAGTTGGAAAAATTAAACTAAATATGATATTAACTAAAACAGATGAGAAACAGCGACTCCCTTTATGGATAACACGCTGCTAAATGTTTAAGATGTAACTGCAATTGTTCTGTGGAAACTCAGCTATTAGACTTGCGGGGTGGGGGCGCTGGAAGAGATTTTCTTCCTAACTTGCCAAAGAAAATTCCATCTGAGATTTTTTTTTAAAAAGAAGCATAATTCAGAACTGAGTCTTAGGATTAGACACTACATATCTGTGGCATTGTGTCTCAGCCCCGAGAGCCTACCCTTAGCTCTCAGGGAACTGTAATAAAAAAAAAATCCAGAACCTGTATATCATTAAAAGGCTGGATTAAGGTCAAGAGCCTTAGATGGAATCCTGCACTGCCCCAAGTCTTAGCAGCTCTTATGGTGCCAGAAGTGTTTAGAAGACCAAGAAAGAACTACATGTTTTAATTAAATAACACATGGCAGAAAGCACAAGATACCAGCTTGGGTTTATCAGGCAGAGCAGGAGCGATCCTTGTACTAAACAGACAGGCACCAAGGAAAAGAGAGAACCCGAGAGACGAGTCTAAAAAAGCTTAGGAGCTATTTAATTCATCCTAGGACAAAAATCTAACGCTCCCCAGCGACACGAGGGGAGCCGCATTTAAGAAAGGCAGCCTGGTGTAGAATAATGATGGAGTAAAGTAAATGACACGGAACTATGACGGATCTTAAACCCAACTGGAAAATTGAGAAGGAGAACGAAGTGTGTGCATAATGACAACTTGACAATTACCCTGGAGCAGTGGCCCACGTCCTGACACAGTTACCTGTCCCTGTGCTGTGGGTGTTGGTGTCTGGGCTTTCTTCTGGAACAGTGTGGCTTGGTGGCCCATTTTCCCACCCCCTGTCTCCCTTGCTTAGACCGACTGGCTCACCATCAGTAGCCTAGGAGCCCACACAGGGCAGACAGAACCTGGAGGTCGGCTGTGTGCACATCTTTCTAAATGAAGATGATTTAAAAAAAATGAATCACTAATGCCAAAGCCATTTATGAAAATTCTACAACAAGGAAAAGTCCGCCCCCCCAAAAGAAACAGACTCCTAAACCTAGGCGAGGTGTCAAAAATTTAAGATTATTTTATTCTCCTGGATGCGGAGTTGCAGGAAAAAAACAAAACAGCGGGCGGTCTAAGCACATCAATCATAGAGGAGACAGCACATTCTAGACTGGGAATATAATTAAGTAGAAGATATAAAAATAGGATTTCCCAACCTGGCAAGTGGAAACATAAACCAACTGGCAGAGGAAGGGTGGAGAGGATGGTCTCACTCCCGTGGAGTAACGCTGGAGAGACGGAGAGGAAACAGAAGATGGGTAGCAACCAGGGAAGGAGCAGAGGGCGGGAGGGTGATGGAAACCTATGAGGTGCGAGGGAGGCATGAGTTTGCCAAGACCTGATTTTAGCCTCTGGCTAGTGAATTTGGGGGTGCAGATGTTTCCTGAAAGATTGATACGTGATTGTGTTGAGAGCCGATGGGATAGATTTCGCCGCTAACTGAGTTAGTCTCTGCTCAACAGAAAACAAAATGTAGCCGCATCTTGGGAACAAATATTTTTTCCTTCACTGTCACCACTGGTCAGGAGTGGGCATAAGTTACTCTCACAGCAACTGCGGGAGACAACCACACAAGGTCTGTTTTTAAAGTCTGGCCCATGCTCTGGAATGCTCCATTGATGGGACTGAATCTACCACGTTCCCCTCCCTTATACAAAAAGAAATAAAAAAAATAGTCCAGACCCATGCCTCGGATTCCTTAAGAGGGCCTGTGACAAAGTTAGAAAGCTTTTCAATAAAACAGAGTAAAGTTATTTCCCATTCATTTCTCCACCATAGCAAGCGCAGTTGTGGGGTGGGGAGGGGGGTCTTCTCTCAGCTGGGCAATCGCTAAAAGCGCCTTCCCTTATTCTCTACTTAAAAGCTATCAATTTAGACCTGTCCCGTGTATTGCCCCGTGAATGGAACAAGGCTTTGCGATCTTTAATTAAGGGTGAAAAACTCTTTGAACATCGCCGCATTCATGTGTTCATGTGTGGAAGGCCTAGTGTAACAAAAGAATTTAATCAAACTACAAGCCTAATAAAGACTACATTGCCTGAACTAAATGATGTGGCTGCAGTTGGAGCTCTGAGTTTTACATTTGAAGAAGCGGGTCAGAGTGTTCATTCATCTTGATTAGCGATGCCAACCTAATTACTTCTGGAGGAAACAGTAATTAGCTGGAGTCTCACCTCATTAATCATGACATTCTTGTAGAAGACTATTTTTATCTGATAAATGGCTGGGATTGGAACAAGGTGTATATTTGAATTCTGGTTTAATTGTACACAGCTTGCTGCATAGCATTTTGTGTTTTTAATCGTTTAACTACTTCCTCGCTGGGGGCCTCTGGAGTAACGTTAGCTGCCTACTAACATTCTTGTAGTGAAATCTTTAAAAACCTGACTTAAGGAGGGTTGGTTCTTGTCTGGTGGACCGATCGTAGGTGGCATCCCCGGGGACTCAGGACAGGATGAAAGCGAAGCTTGGATGTGTAGACCAGGTCACTCCGAGTTGCTGGGACAGACAACACAGGTTTCTGTGGAGAATTTGAAATGAATGAGACCATTGTGTAACCCACACAGCGGCTTCCGTGTGACCAGTAGTGGTAGCAGACATGCAGTACACGCTGTACTTTAGGCATGGAATCTTAATACACAAAGTGGGCTCCTTTGTACGCCTGAGCGGAGCTAACCCTGCTACGGGTCGTAGTTAGAAGGTAGCCTGGACTCAGTTGTATTTAGAGTCATTTTGTTCTGCAGTCCTGTGGTTCCGACCACTTTGCACTGGTAGCAAAGTCCTAGCAGGAAGCAGTTTCTCAGAATCGTATTTGTTGCTTCCTTCTGGTTCCTTTCCAGCCCACAAATCCCCCAGTAGATCTCCAAGTGAGCGCCGTGGAATAAAGACGGAGCCCTGCAATTACTGCTTGTAAGCGTGCAGAACGTTCGCCCACAGCAAGCCCTGATGTCAGAGAGGGGACTATGTGAGTCACCCCTGCCCAATGCCAGGCACCTCCTTGGGCTCTTACATTGCTCACATAAGAAAAGTGCATCTGGAGCCTTCAGGGATGACTCACAATCGGGTTTAAGAGACTGCCGTGTAATATAACGTTAGTTGGGCACGGTGAGATTGCTCAGTGGATAGTTCATCCTGTGGACCTGGTGACCTGACTTAAGTGGAACCCACTTAAAAGTGTGAGGAGAGGACTGACTCCACAAAGTTATGCTGTGGCAGAACACAGGACACACCCGCGTGGAGTGTGCACACACATGTGTCACACATGGTGATGATAAATAGAAGAAAATAATGCTAATTAAAAATCCAATGAAACACGGCTTTGCGTGTATGAAAATAGGGCTCATGAGGATTTTTCTGTCGTGTAAAGAGGGAAGAAAGCAAAATGGTCATCAGTCAGTGTAAGTATATTCAGTGTGAAATTATGCCCACAGGGACCAGGATGTCTCCATCTTGTCCCTCTGAAGGAGACAGGCCAAGGGAGGTAGTTCACACAGAGTCATCAGAAGGGGAAGAGTCCTATGGATTGTATGTGTTTGTTAGCCAAGGCTGATCCACGTAGCCAAGGATGGCCTTGAACTCTGATCTTCTTACCCCTACCTCTTAAACACTGGGATGCTCAGATTGTTTGTTTAGTGGGTTTGGCCCAAGGCAGTAAGATACATCCTCCTTTACGGTAGTGTTGTCCTTGTCTATGAGATAGAAATTCTTGGAATGTTTTGGTCTCATCCCCTTTCTCCTTGACAATGTGTGATGGACCTTACCATCCTTTGCCTCAGTAACTCTGTCTAGACATCCATTGGATGGATTCTCCCTTTCTTGGGATATCATCTTTGCATTGATTTGCTAGGGCAGTTAATACACCCCTCCTCTAAGCAACTTTCTGCGTCCGTGCATGGTGTGGTACTCAGGGTTTTAAGCTCACTCTCTCCAAACTTTCTGGGCAACCCACTAATGTGTGGAAGGTCATCTTGTACATAAGCCATTCCCATGCCAAGTTACATAGCAACGTGAT